GGGATTGCATCAAATTGAGAAGTTTCTGTACTGTAAAATAAACAGTCAGACGAGTGAAGAGGCAACCGACAGAATGGGAAAAAATATTTGCAAACTATGCAACAGATAAAGGGTTGATAACCAAAGAAATCAAGAAACTCCACAACATCAAAACAAACAACCCACTTAAGAGATGGGCCAAGGACCTCAAAAGACATTTTTCAAAAGAGGAAATCCAAATGGCCAACAGGCACATGAAAAAATATTCAAGATCACTAGCAATCAGGGAAATGCAAATCAAAACCACAGTGAGGTTTCACCTCACCCTGGAAGAATGGCTCACATTCAGAAATCTACCAACAACAGATGCTGGCGAGGATGTGGGGAAAAAGGGACACTAACCCACTGTTGGTGGGAATGCAAACTGTTTAAGCCACTATGGAAGTCAGTCTGGAGATTCCTCAGAAACCTGAATATAACCCTACCATTCAACCCAGCCATCCCACTCCTTGGAATTTACCCAAAGGAAATTAATTTTATTTTTAAAGATTTGTTTATTTATTTATTTGAAAGGTGCAGTTACAGAGAAAGAGGGAGGAAGAGAGAGAAATTTTCTATCTGCTGGTTCACTCCCCAGATGGCCACAAAGGCCAAGGATAGGCCAGGCCAAAGCCAAGAGCCAGGAGCTTCTTCCTGCTCTCCCATGTGGGTGTAGGGGGCCAAGGACTGGGACCATCCTTTACTGCTCTCCCAGGCCATTAGCAAGGAGCTGGATCAGAAGTGGAACAGCTGGGACTCAAACCGATGCCCATATAGGATGTGGGCTTCACAGGCAGTGGCTTTACCTGCTGCACCACAACCCCGGCCCCACACAGAGCCATTTTAAAATAAAATTTTTTCACATACATGAGGGATTTGAGAGCGTAGGTGTGAGAAAGTTTGAAGGAAAGTGGGAGAAAGGGGAGTTTCCTGTCGACAATGAAAGGTTTAGGCAGCCCAGCTGTGATGCCCCTCAGCTCCGTTCCCGGAGTTCAAAGCCAAGTCCTTCCAGCAGAGCAGAGAGGGGTACGTGGTCAGAAATGACGACTGTGAGGACCCTCTGGAACCCAAGCTGGTGAGCAGCAGCCTTGTTCTACGTGCATTGCTCCAGCTGAGGGTCTTCCCATCCGATTCAGCCACCACTTGGACAGGAGCCTCTGGATCACCCCTCTGTGCCAGGCACTGCAGCCCACCTGCCTCGGAGGCCGCCCACTTGCACTCTCTGCCCACTCTCCAGGATGACATCCTATGGAGAGGGACCCCCGCAGAGTTAGATTTGCCAGGGATAGGCTCCCCAGATCAGTGTCCAAGAAACTACAGGAGGACCATCTCTGCCCCCGTTCTAGCTGTGTGGCCTTGGGCGAGTGGTTCAGCTCCTCTGAGCATCAGATTCCGCAGCGGGAGGTGGGAACAGTCCTCACCAGGATGCTGTGAAGCACACCCATGATAAAGTCCAGGATGTGGCTTTGAAACCTCAAATGTCAGATACAGGGAAGGGACAGCACTGAGTTTTTTGCTTTGTTTTTAAAATTTACTTCTATTTGAGAGACGGGGCGGAGGGGGGAGGGGGCAAAGATAGAGTGCTCCCAACACCTCCCAAATGCCTGGGAGATGAGAACTCCAACTCCATCCAGGTCTCCCATGTGGGTGGCACTTGAGCCATCACCAGCTGCCTCCCAGGGTGCACAGCAGGCAGAAGCTGGAATCCGGAGCAGAGCTGGACTCGAACCCGCGCACTGCAATATGGGATGCGGGCGTCTCAAGTCATGTTATGTTTCCTAGTAGCTAACAGCACAGGGCTGGAAGTGCAAGCTCCGCTGAGACCGACCCCCGGGGTCCTCAAGAGGATAGGAAACTGGGGTCCGTGGGGTCAGAAGTGTGGGCTGAGGGAAAGACGAGACTGCACTCAGAGCAGCCAGCACCACGCGGAAGGGGAGTGGCGGTCGTAATGACAGTGACAGCGACTGCACATCTTCCAGGCTACACACCACTTCCGCAGTCACCGCAGGGCCCTGGAGAGGCCTGCACGGAGGCCGACCGCCCCGCCCTGTGTGCATTCGCACCCTGTTCATCACTCGGCCGGGCTCCCACTGGGTTATCACCCACACTTCCTTGGCGGGGACAGCGCCGCAGATTGCGGGGACCGTCGGAGTGGGTGAGCCGCGGGTGTGCACAGGGCACCTGCGCCTGCCCCTCCTCGCGTGCCCCACCCCCAGCCCTGCTTGCTTAGCCCTGCTCTCCTTGTTCAGTGGCTCACAGACTCCCAGGGACTCTGCCTCTGGCCAGTCTCACCACAAATCATTCTCATGTCTTGGGAAATCTTGTTCTGGGAAGGCTAGCTTTTTCCTTCCTGAAAGAACACATGCACCCCCCACCAATCTATATTTCCTGCTGTGCACAGTCTGCGGAGAGCCTGGGAGGTTTACAGTTGGTGGGGAAGCGTGGACGTGGCCCTCAGGGAGCTAATGAACGCATTACAGGGAGAGGGATCTGGCGGTGATGGGGGTGCAGGCAGAGAGGCTGCACCGGCAGCGCTGCGGTTTCCAGGGAGCTCCTGGGAGGAGGGAAACGCAAGGATTGTCTTGTTGTTCTGTTTTATTTTGTTTGTTGCCAACAAAGGCCAAATGCCGCTTCACAGGTCTGATTTGTAGGCTCCTAGGCTATTAGAATTATGCCACTGGCTTGAGTGGGACATGGACAGTGAAGGCATAGCTGGTGCTTCTGTTTATTGAAATTCTTTGGAGGATGCTGACTGAACACCAAGAGGGAAGGTGAGTCAGACTTGAGGGGTTGTGTGGGCCAAGCCTCAGAGCCACAAAAGGCACCATGGTGTGCGCCATGGGACACAGGACATGGGCAAGGAGCCCACTTAAGTGAGGACTTGTGTGTTGTCACCTGGGGGAAGTCGCTTAGCCTTTCTTTTTTTTCTAAAGATTTATTTATTTATTTGAAAGGCAGAGTTACAGAGGTGCAGAGGCAGAAAGAGAGAGAGATCTTCTATCCTCTGGTTCACTCCCCAGATGACTGCAATGGCTGGAGCTGGGCCAATCTGAAGCCAGGAGCCAGGAGCTTCTTCTGAGTCTCCCATGTGAGTGCAGGGGCCCAAGGACTTGGGCCATCTTCTACTGCCTTCCCAGGCCATAGCAAAGAGCTGGATCAGAAGTAGAGCAGCCAGGTCTTGAACCAGCCCATTTGGGATACTGGTACTGTAGGCGGCGGCTTTACCAGCTATGCCATGGCATGGGCCCTTGCTTAGCCTTTCCGAACCTCTCTTTCTTGATTCATGGACTGGAGACAATAGTGCCTGCTCTGCTTACCTTACTGCGTTGTCACTGTGAGCAACACATGTGAACAAGAGATTGTGAACAAAGAGCCACAAGCAAGTGAGGAGGGTAAGAGTGACACAGTTACAATATGAACGTCATGCTCAAAACGTTGGTTGCTCTGGAAGTTGATTTGTAGTGAAAGAAAATGTTGAATCGGAGAGATTGAAAAGGCAGTGGGAGATTTAGAAGTAGACTGGTGGTAGGGAGGGTGCGTTTGACCTAGCAGTTAAGATGCAGCTTGAGACTCCCACATCCTATAATAGAGTGCCTGGGTTCAAGTCCTAGCTCTGCTTCTGAGTCCAGCTTCCTGCTAATGTGCACCCTGGGAGGTAGCAGGTGATGGTTCAGGTGGTTGGGTCTCTGCCACCCACTTAAAGACCTGTATTGAGGTCCTGGTTCCGGGCTTTGACCTGGCCTAGCCCTTGTTGTTGCAGACATGTGGGGAATGAACCAAAATGTGTACTGCGCTCCCATCTCTCTCTCCTGAAATAAAAAAAAATTCAAGATAGACAATGTCAATAATAGCAGAAGGGTGATTCTAAAGGGAGAGTGTCAAGGAAAGGAGAACATAATTGGGCCCTGAACAAGAAGCTTAGTGGTGGTGATGGAGCAGGAGGAGGCCTGGCCGGGTCCCACTGGGGTAAGCCGGAGCTTTGGTTCAGTGGCGTGTAGAGAACGGGGTTGGGTGACAGCATGCCATGAGTGTGTCCTGTGAGTCACTGTCCTGTCCCTGTGAGAAAGCCCAGCAGCAGTTGTGGGAAGAGGGAGAAGGCTCACAGAGGTGGCTGACCCGTGGCGGAGGGAGGGGCTCTGAGGATGGCGCAGAGGCCAAGAAGACCACTTCTTGAAGAGCAGGGTCCTGGACAGGGAGCCCCTTGGCTAGGAAGGGGGCCTTGCAGGCCCCGTGGAACAGGCCCAGAGCCACAGGGCAAGGGCAGGCTGATTCCCAGGAGTGGACTGCAGACTCCAATGAGCCCTTCCTTCTCCAGAGAGCAATTAGGGAGAGTGGAGGTGGGTTCCCTGTACCGCCCTCTCTGGCCTCAGAGCCTTGCCCAGTGCCAGGCATACGAAAGGCATTTAGTCCATGTTTGTTGGAGAAACCTGACAAATGAATGGTGCATGAGTCCAGTCCAATTCCAAATGCCCAACAAGCTCTGAATTTTATTCCTCTTCTGGCTCTTTTTTTCTTTCTCGTTCCAAACAGTGATGTGGATACCAGGCCACTGTTCCTCCTGAGAACTCCTGACTCTAGCATGTTCCTGGTCTCCCCCCAGCGCCCCCCCCACCCCCTGTGGTGTATGTACACACAGCAGTGGTGTGCTAATGGCTTGTTTCTATGGCAACCTGCTTTTGCACATTGCCATTCTCAATCTGCCTCTAGTCACCGGGCAGACATTGCTGTATCACATTCAAATTTCTAACCATGGCAGTTCCCAGTTCTGTTTACATCCTGTCCTGATACAGAATGTCTTAAATTAAGGGAACGTTGTCTTCCCAGAAATTAATTTTAAAAATGCATTAAAACACATGATGACGTGATTTTTTTTCCGATAACTAGAAATATAGAATGTATCCATAGCTTCCTTGCCAAGAAATAACTTTCCCCCTTAGTCACTGACTCTTTTTCAAAACTGTTTTCTGCACACATATGGACAGCCAGCCCCGACAAGATTCTCCAGAGTGGCATCTGGCTGTAGAAATAGCATCTGGCTCTCAAACTCTCCCGCACAACTGTGGGCTCGAACCCGCCTGGCTACTGTCACGACCGGACCGGCAGCAGCCTCAGCATTGAAGCTGAAGACCTGAACTCCACTGCAAGCAAACGCAGGAACGAGAGTCACAGCGAACGTCTGATTTGATTTTACCGTTACCGTGTCGTTTTTATCAGACTGACCTGCTTGTGCCTTCTCAGGCCCTCCTCGTGGTTCGCCTCACTTTAACAAAGATGGATCTTCTTGACTCACGCTTAGGCATCGCCTTGTTCTGTTCACAGCACACACGTTGACCACAGCCTCTTTTTACCTGGGCACCAGTAAGACTTGAAACACTCAGCTGGGGCCCACTCACACTAATACTATCCGAATACTACTAATAACGAAGATCACTGCATGTTTTCTTTCCAGGGTGAATTTGCACATCTTCTGGAAGAACTCTCTTCCATACCTGCACCATTCACAGGCAGCATGGATTGGCCCGGCCTGGGCATAGCAGCTGGTCCTGTTCCTCACCTGAGGTGCATACCCCCATTTTCGCCTTTCCACAAAGCACCATATTGACGCTAGATTAGTACCTGTCCCTCAGAAGGCCCTAGTGGCTCAGCTCCATGTATTGCTGAGGTCGTCAGTCTGGCGCCTTCCTCAATGACTAGCCTGGGAAAGATATTCTCTAAAGGGCTGATTCTGCATAAGCCATGTGGGTGATTCTTGTAGAGGAACATCCTTGTCATTTCTTCATTGTACTGGGAGGAATTGTGTCCACCACCTCACACCCCCAAGAAAAAGATATATTCAAGCCCTAGATCCCCATACTTGTGAACATAATTAGCCTTTCATATAAGTCAGGGTCAGGTTTTATAAGTCATGTAGAGATGATTTGAAGGATATAGGCAGGTGTGCATAGGTTAAGTGTAAATGTTACACCATTTTATGTAAGGGACTTGTGCTTCTGTGGAATTCGGTATCCACAGGAGGGCTGGAACCAATCTCTCCTGGATGCTGAGGGATAACCACATAACCTGATTCGGGAAATAGGGTTCTTGCACATGTAATCAACTTACAATGAGGTCATACTGGATTAGGGCGGGCTCCAATCCAGTAGCTGTTGTTCTCAAAAGAAGAGAGAATTTGGACACAGAGGGGAGCCTGTCACGGGAAGACAAAGGCAGAGATTGGAGTCAGACTGCCCATCAAGCAAGGAGTGCCAAGGATTGCCAACAGCGCCCAGTGGTGGAGGAGACCAGGGAGGATTTTCCCTGGAGATTTCAGAGGGAGTGTGGCCCTGCTGGCACCTTGAATTTATTTCCTGCCTTCAGAAAGGCAACAGCATACATTCTGTTGTGTTAAGCCAGTCAGTGTGGGGTTATTCGTTACAGCACACCTAAGACCAAATACACTCACCAACTGGATCACTAGGTAGAGGTGAGTGGTTAGAGTTCTCCAGAGCCTCCTAACTTCAAGACCCAACTCCCTCGGGATAAAGGGGATTTGCCCAGCTTGTTCTTTGGGTGATAACACTTTCTGTGCTTTTGAATGTGAGAAAAAAATCTTAGAGATTTCCTCATCTTCCAAAACTGCTCAGTAATCAAATAACAAAAGACACAATTCATTAGACAATATTTGAATCATTGCCTAAATGTGTGCAGGTCCTGGGTATGAATGCCTGATATTCTGGTGCGGGGCTACCTGAAAGCTTCCCCACTCAGTGCTGTAAACCATTGGACCTCCCCTCCCATGCCCATCCACTGATGTGAGCACCCCAGGTTGGCTCATGAACCTGCAAGGGCCACAGGAAATTTGGGGATTGGCTGTGAAAAGTATTGAGAATTGTAAATTCTGCCCTTGCAAAAGGCTCTGAACACAATGGTTTTAATTTGGGGAGGCCAGCGCTGTGGTGTAGTAGGCTAAGCCTCTGCCTGTGGCACCAGCATCCCACATGGGTGCTGGTTCTAGTTCCAAAAGTTCCCCTTCCCATCCAGCTCTGTGTTAATGTATCTGTGAAAGCACAGATGGCCTGCATCCACATGGGAGACCAGAAGAAGCTCCTGGCTCCTGGCTTTGGATTGGCCCAGCTCCAGCCATTTCAGCCATTAGGGAGTGAACCGGGGGGATGGAAGGTGTCTCTCTCTCTCTCTCTCTCTCTCTTTCTCTCTCTCTAACTCTGCCTTTCAAATAAATAGATAAACCTTAAAAAGATTAATACCCAAACTTAATTCTACCATCTAAAGATAAGATGCATTGTGATAACTGATCTGAGTGTCTGGTTGCTCTGGGAAAATTCAGCAGATCTGTAGGAAACCAAGAACTGGCTCCCTGTCGGAGGGGGCATGCACAGTCTGGCTTGCCCCTGTCCACCTGCTTAGCACCACTAATTTGTGGTTATCTCCCTGTCCCTGCAAGTCCTGGAGTTTGCAAGCCCTGGGATAGGGGAAGAGAAGCAGAGGCCTGGACTCACAGGGTGGCGGTCGGGATTATAAATTACAGAGTACTGGGAAGTGAGCAAAAGAACATGGAACAAGAAAGATCAGACAGCCGAGGTCACAGAAGCAAAAGGTCTTGTCCAAAAATCCAGGGACCAGGTATTCATCTATTTTTAGATAAAGTAACAGGATGTGGGCACCAAAAAAGAGTGGTCAGTTCCCCAACACAGCACAATGGTGATGACTTAGGCACAACATCCTCTTTCCTATTTTTAACTAGCTCACTGGAGCTGCGTCAGAGGACTTTGCTGCTGACTCATCCTGTGGAGGCATCCTTCTCTGAATTGCATAAATGCCATCTATACAAGCTGAAGAACATCTGAGAACAAAACCCCAACCTGTAGAGACTGCGGCACACAGGGCATTCTTATACATAGTGTCCCGAGGGAGCAGGGTGTCCCAGGCCACAGCTTTCATGGTTAAGTGCTGCAGAGCTGCAAAGAGAAATCATTCTTTTGTTGAAGCTCAGTTTAGACCCCTATGATTCTTTTTTGTACTTAGTGGAGATAATGTGGAGAATTACACGGAGTGTTCAGTGCAACAATTTTCTAGGTGTACAGATACCCCCGCTCCAGGAGTCGGAGAAGAGGAATCCGGAATGACAGCAGAATGTTCTCGGTGTGTTTCTAGGCAAGAAGCACCTCTGACCACGGGGAAGGACTTGGGTGTCCCTTCCTGTCCTGGAGGGCAGCCCTTCCCATTTGCTGATGAGGAAGTTCAGGTTTCAAGACGCTAGGGGGTCCCTGCTCCCACCTCCCCAGGCCTCACAACCTCTGCTGCTGCGACTGTCTCCCAACTATCACCAGCTGCATCTCTTTACCAGGGGCTTTTCCCACAACCAAGGGAACTCACCGTGCCCTTGGGGCAGTGCAGAGGTGCCAGGAACACACACCCCTCGGAAGTGGCAAATGCCAGAGGCCAGCAGGACACGGTGTCTACACCCGCAGCGCTCTCTTCAGAGGCCCAGGTTCTATGGGGAGAGAGGGAGAGAAGGAGGGAGGCAGAGAGAGAGAGAGAGAGAGAGCGAGAGAGCGAGCATACATGTGCAGGGTATGGGCTCTGGCAGGTGAATACCTAGTTAGACATTAGTAATATTGTTTTGTTGTCCATATTGGTGTGTCTGCATGTATAATGTACTTGTAGTTTGTATATGGGTGTATACACACACACACACACACACACACACACTGTTGGCCCTGCCTGCACATCTGTGACTTCTGCATCTGTGGATTCAACCAACCATGGAACAAAAATATTTGGAAAAAATAATTGCATCTATGTCAAACATACAAGTATACAGACTTTTTTCTTGCTGTTATTCCCTAAAGTATACAGTACAACAGCTGTTTACATGGAATGTGTATTTTATAGGTATTATAAGTTATCTAGGGTGATTTAAAGTATATGGAGGCTATGTGATGGTTATAAGCAAATACTATAACATTTTATATAAAGGACTTGAACATCCACAGATTTTTTTATATACATGGAAGCTCCTGACACCAATTCCCTCCCTCCCTGACAGATAATTAAAGGATGACTGTGTTATATAAATATAATGTATATGTGTAGAATATGTGTATATAATAAATATTATGCATGATGTGCATGTGTTGTTTATGTACTTTATTATTTATAATCCTTGCTAACTTTGGAAAATGATATTGTTTTCCCTTTACAGTAGTACTATAAAGTTTCCTTTTAGAATGAACTTATCTAAGTAAAAATACCGAATAATTTAAAGAACATTTAAGTGAATGGTAGAGAAGAGCCTATACCAATATGATTAACAGTTGTGGAGGTTATGCATGAGTTGCTGAAGTTTGGGAGATCCTAACATTTTAGGGGGATTTGCTTCAGGGAAGACCAAGGCCCAGAAATAACAGAGAATACATTGGCCTTAATTCAAAGAGGACCTAAATTATGTTACAATTCAAGCCATGTCATAGCCTTGTTCTCTTATTACATTGCATGGGCTAGTCTCAGACATATTTTCTGGCCTGGATCATTCATGTGTTCATTGACCATATATTTATTAAGGATTTTATGATGTGTATTTATACAGGGTGCTATGTTGTGTTTTTATTGAGAAGCTGTGACTGGGCCGATTGCTGCGGTAGGCAGAAAGGAAATAAAATCCACAATCCCTGTACATAATAAATTTAGCGTCTAGTTTGGAAGCCGAGATAAATTAGTTATCCATATGCAAAATAAGAACGGCATGACACAAAGAGCTATAAATTCAGAGGAGTGAGCTGTTATTGTAAATGAGGGTGGCCTAGGAAGCTTTAATTTATTTGCTTTTAGAGATGAAAAATGAAAACCTGGAGGTGTTCTAGTCTGGTGTCTTCTGCTGTGTTTTTCAGCTCCCACGGGTGCATCCGGAGCACCAAGGTTCCGGGGGAGGACTCTCGTGCTCATCAACCTCTGCTCCGAGCACACACGCGTGAGAGTTTCCATGAGTGAATTAGAGAACGAAGCAGTCTGGAAGCCTCTAATTGGGTCCAACTCTTCTGATTTTCAGGTTAAACAGAGATTAAATACGATTTAGCATTTCCACATGAAGTCTGTGAGAGAGCTGGCACTGTGGCTGCTCACTTAACTCCCTCCTGTCTCTTCCCACTTCAGTGCCCAGAGAACCTGTGTGGGGCCTGGGAGGGCAGAAGGAAGTGCATGGGGAGAGATCGGGAAGTGTTTTCTGACTGTGGAATTCTGGGGAGCAGGGGCATGAAGGGGAATGCAGGTGACTCTTGAAGCTTCGAGGGTAGGTAGTTTTTATGATTTATTTGAGAGGCATAAACAGGGAAAGAGATCTATCATTTGTTGTTTGACTCCCCAAAGGCCACCACAGCAGCCAGGGCTGGGCCAGGCTGAAGCTAGAAGCTAGGAACCCAATCTAGGCCTGCCAGGTGGGTGGCAGGGACCCACATTGTTGAGTTGTCACCTGCTGCATCCCAGGTCTGCATTAGCAGGAAGCTGGAGTCAGGACTGGAACCAAGAATTGAACCTCGAGTTTCTTATTTGGAGCATGGGACTTGAACCACCGGTTAAAATGGCTGCTCCGGGAAAGATCTTTTTGGGTAAAAGGAGGGCTTAGACAGGGGGAGTGTGAGTACTAAGGTGGGGAAGTAGACAAGGATCACATGAATGGCTTCCTGGGAAATGTGAACTCACTAGGACTCAGATCCAGCTGGCTGGCAGGTGACGCAGGAAAACCTCACGTTAGGGGGCAGCAGATGGAGTAACGTGCTCAGACCCTGCCTCCGAGCACACCGTGGACAGGTTGCTCTGCCTCTCTGTGCCTCCGCTCCCTGGTCTACAGAACAACACTAGCATCAGCAACACTGGATTAAGTGAAATAATACACGAAAAGCCGATGCCTGGCCCCTGCCAAGGGCTCACCACATAATCACTATTATGATGAACTGAATGGAATCAAGAGAGGGCGGGCCTTGGCTAAGTTGTTTGATAGCAGTCCCAGAATTAGAAACCAGTTCCTGCAATTTTTAATTCAATGTCCTTCCTTTCATCACTTCTTATGTTTTAAAACAGCGTATTATTATTTATTTTCTAGGCTATATTAGCATTTCCACTCACAAGACATAGTGTTCTTACTGTTTCAGTACAAACATACTTGCTCAGTGGTTTCCTTTAGCAAAAACAATTTTGATTGATTTCATTCACGCCCTAATTAATATATCACATTTACAGTGAATGCACCGCTTACTTTGAAAAAACCAGATTTTTCAATTTCCAGGTCTTCAGCCCCTGCCATTGCAGTCTGACTCCAAACTGTAAGAAATTATATCTGACATTTAGAATGGAATAACTATTCTGATTGCTTCTTTGTGTCTGTGGAAAAAACAGCATTTATTTTGACCAAATGTTATCTTTTCCCCTTTTCATCAAATAAATCATACTCATGACCCGAGAGCTTCTGCTGTTCTTTACGATTCATTGGCCAACCGTGAAGGAACAAACAAATCGAGTGCTGAACCTTGGGTGGCAGCCATTGGAGAGTCTCTCCAGAGACTGCCGTCTCCCCGGGAATCAGAGACCCCAGGGAGGGCAGCCTCCTCAGTTCCACTCTTAAGTGAGAGACGGAGCTCAGGGAGATGAAGTGGCCTGCAATGCCGTACTGCTAATAAGTGGCAAAGAGGGATTTGGGACCCCGTTTTCTCCAGAGTCCCTGTGGCCTTACAGCTTGCATTAGAAGTCTTCCTGAGTTATCAGGTGTTGGCAACTCACAGCCCGCAGGCCACATCTGGCTGGTTGTTTGTTTCTGCAAATGAAGTTTTATTGGAACACAGTCATGCTCGCAGGCTTGCCTCTTGTCTGTAGCTGCTTTCCCGCCACACTAGCAGAGCTGAGTACTTGCACCAGGGACCCGATGACGGCAATGCCTGAAATATTTACCATCTGGTCCTTCACAGAAAACTTTGCCAAACCCTAATGCATATCAGGTCTGCTTGAAATTTTCATTCTTCTGCTCTTTTTTTTTTGTGTCCAACCCAATTGTCAAAATTGCAGAAAGTCGGGCTGGGCAGGGAACAATGGGAGAGAAGAAAGAGGAAAGAAAAAGCTAACACTGACTTACCGAATTTGGGATAGGAAGAGCTCTACAGGAGACTATGAAGTATCCCATATGTCATCTTATTTAATTCTTAAGAAAGATGCTGTGAGATTGATACTTTAACTCCCATGTTATAAATGAGAAAACTGAGACTCAAAGAGGTAAGGACTAATGATGACCACAACTAGGATTTGGATCCAGCCTTTCCCATTCTAAAATAACTCTATTCTATCATGTGATTTTCATAGCCAAGGTTACCATCCATTTTTTTAGAAATGTGATATACCATCTTCTAAATTTTGAATTAAAACTAACGTTTGGTACCAAGATATATTTAATAAATAATGAGCCGCAGGTTGAATTTGTCTAATTCATAGTGTCATCATGCTTTCATTTTCGTTTGAGTGCTCATTTGTGTAAGTGGATGGCTTGGACCGCAGGAGATGAGAACAATATGTTTCTCGACACACAATTAGCATTTTACATTATTGAAGAAATTTAATAGCTCGGCAGCAGGCAGAATGGAAGCCCTGTGTGTATGTACACATGATGAATTGCGTAGATACCATGTAAATGTGTTTTTATTTAGTCAACAATTCCTCTCTCCAAGGCTTGCTGCAATTCTCTTAGTGGTTACCAAGGTTACCTCATCACCTGAATCACTCATGAAGAACCACAGAACACAGATTGCCAGAATTCCTCTGGCCGTCATGGCTAAGTCTAAGTTTAGCTTTGGGAACCTGTAATTTTACTTTATTTTTTAACCTCTACAGGTGAGTCTGATGACCCATCAGCTTTGGGAACAACTACTCTAGAATGAGCAGGTGGGCAAGGGCTGCACCTTTGTCCCTGTCCTTCCTGGTCTTCCTTGATGTCCTCTCGCTGCTCTGTGTCTGCACTACCTGGGACAGAGGCAGGGCGGAGCCATCTCACCCTCCACGCCGAGTACCTCCTCAGCATCCAGCAAACCGGCAGGAACACTGCCTGCCTTACCTGTGGTCATCGTGGTCACCAGTACTTTCTTTCTGAAATTGCCTTTCTCGCTTTGCATTTGCGCAAATACCCCCCAATAACAGATCCAAATCTGATTTCTTCTGCTTGCTGGGTATGCAAATGAGGCTCATGGATATCCGGAATGTAAATGGTAAGAGGTGATTATCTTCTACACCCTATTATTCATCTCCTTTTCCTTTCCTGCTTTTAAAAATGTCATTGCAGCCACCATGGATTAATACAAAAAGGGGCTTCGAACTCTGAAAATTTGAAAGCCTCAGCCGCGTATTCACTTTTTAATTAAAAATATTTTATTTTATTTATTTCAGAGACAAAGAGAGCTCTCATCTGCTGTTCACTCCTCCAAGTGGCTGGGCCAAAGTGGGGGCAGGGCAGAACTATGAACGGGAAACGTAATCTTGTTCTCTCACATGAGTGGCAGGGACCCAGGTACTTGAGCCATCACCTGCTGCCTCCTGGGTGTGCAGCTGGAATCAGAAGCAGAGTCAGGACTCAAACGCAGGCACCGCAGCTTGGGATGCAGGGGTCCCAAGAAGCATCTTCACTCTGTATCAAATGCCCACCCTAGTAACTCGTTACTTTAAAACTTTGCTTCTCACTGTGCGTGTGTGGAGGGAATATAGTAGCTTAAAATCATAGGCTTGTAAATATGTATGTGTTCATTGTTTCAGCCAATTCTCTCTTCTACAGTACAAATAATTGACCTCAAAGATCCTCATTACTTCTTGGGAATCACTATTACCGAGTCTGGGTGAAAAATCTAGTTCTTACTTCCTCAGCGTGAGGTGTGTATTTTGGTGTCTTATGTAAATTAGGATAAAAATCTGTGATGTGTGAGGACTTCAACATATCCCACATTGTGACTATGATTGCTTAGCTCCTAAAAGAGAAAGCAGAGATTTAGAATCTAAGACATGGAAGGACATTTAACATCTCACGTAGAACGATGAAAGTGATCTGCTGGGAAGGTGTGTAGAATGACGACGGATTCCTCCCAGAGAGAAACTCAGCTGACAGCAAGGATGGAGTCAAGTGGGGCATCAGAATGACACCTGAAAGACCCCACAAATTGGGATGTGTGAGATGAGGACCAGTGCTTTAGAGTCACTAAATTAGCGTGAGAAAAGGAAGTTTTATGAAATTATCTAGAGCAGGATCTGTCTGCCTTCAGAAGATTAACAGAGCACATTTCACACTACGTGGATCAAGAAACTTAACTAACCGTTCGTTTAAACCGAAAGTGGGGACACAAGCTGCAATGGAATGAGCATCTTCATGTCCGAATTAGACTGGCCCCAATGAGAAAATCCAAACCTTCTTTGCAAGGTCGTCTTTTGTGACAGCACCTCCTTGCCAATCTGTCCTTCCAGTGGGAAGGACACTTCAGATGGAGGCCAAATGTGCCAACAGATGAAGACAGCAGGTGCTATGAGCTGCCGAGAGTCATCAGAGAACAGTTGAGATGCCCGTGTCTGGTATCAGAGAGCCTGGGTTTGGTTCCTGGCTCTGACTTCTGACTTGAGCTTCCTGCTAAAGCAGACCTTGGGAGGCATTGTTGATGGCATTGTTGATGGCTCAAGTCACTGGGTCCCTGCCATGTATATGGGAGACCTGGATGGAGTTCCCGGCTCCCGGCTTCCGCATGGCATTCGGAGAGTGAGCCAATAGACGAGAACTGTCTGTGTCTCTCCGCCTCTGAAATAAATAAATTAAAACACAATAATTGGAAATAACAGTGATTATGCTGCTTCAAAAAGGTAGATTCTAATGAAAGGAAACTAAGACACCTTTACCACCCCTTCTAGCCCTATTCTTACAGAGAAGAGAGGTAAACTGGGCATTGTAACAAGTGAGGCACGGAACCCAGCCATGGTCCCCTAAAGGCACGGCCTGCTCCACCCATGGCACTCGCCTGAAGTTCCTACATATTTTCATTGCTTGTGTAACATCTGCTTGACCCCCGACCACCTTGGAAGTGCTCAAAGAAGGGACAAAGGTGGGCTTCTGGGCACCACTGGTGCTTTCTGGGTGGCTCTGTCCAATGTTTGTGGAGATGCAGGTGATACTATCAAGTAAGTAAGTAGGTGAGTTAACAAATAGAATTTAGAACACAGAGGCATCCAATTCTCTCTGAAGCTGGATGCTGGGGTTTGGCTGTGGCCTGTCCCCCAGTGGTCCACGTGTTGGAAGCCTGGTCCTCAGTGTGGCGGTGTGCGGATGGGGGCCGGGTGGCAGGGCTTTAGGTCACACTGGGAAGGGGTGGACGCGGTTCTCAGGCTTGTGATACAGGAGCAAGCCCGGCCATCCCCTCATCCGCCAGTGTGCTCTTGCCTCTCGTGCAGGCTCGTGTTGTAATCCTGTCTACTGTGAGGTCCTCACCAGAGCCAGGCCCTTGATCCTGGAGGATCAAGGACTGTGAGCCTAGTATTCAGCCTTAAGTATAGTAAAACAAACAACCGGACAATCAACACACCAGACTAATCCAATCCAATGCTTCTCCAGCCTAGCTACTCATTAAACCACCAATGCACCTTAACCATGCCAGAGCCTGGGCCCCAGCCCAAACTGGGCACCAGCAGTTCTTAGACACCCCACCACCACCACCAGGCTCCTGCCAAGGAAATTATGGTTTGTGGCCGGGTTGACCTCATCTTCAGCTGCCGTGGGCTCACTGATCTGCCGTCAAGACCTGACACCTGCTAACAACACTTATCCTTGGGGATGTGTATCTCCCAGCCCTACCTCTTTCTCGTATCTACAAAACATAGGAAAAGACATGACCACGAGAAGCAGTGAGGAAACAACTTTATTAGGCAGCTCTTCAACAAGGGTGCAGGAGAGGGGAAGTCCAACAGCACGAGACCACCCACGGGCAACTAGGAGGCACCATCCAGAAGAAGGGGAGGCCCAGGGGATTCTGTTGGGGGAGGAGCCTGGGAACACTGGGTGCTGAGATGAAGGCAGTCAGGCTGGGAGTGCATGCGGCCGAGAGCCCGGAGGGGCTGCGCTGGGTGAGGTCTTCCAACCACAAGGCTCTATCTGGTCTATTGCTAGCAGATGTGAGGGAGGTTTTGAGGGATATGCAAAAGCAGGAGGCTCTAGATGGCTAAAATACTGCTTGTTTGTACTATGTTTAAAGTAATCGAATGAGTACACATTCATTTTGGTGTTTGCGGGCAGGGTTTTGAGTTAATGGATCTCAAATTGTAGTAAAGGAGTCAACAAGCCAGGGGTCGATACACAATGATCATCTTTTTGGCCCACTTATCTGACATCGCTGCCTTGCAGAGTTGTGCAAGAGTTAGGAGGACATCGGGAGGCAGACACTGCATCAGGGCAGAGCAGTCGGTGGGTGGTGTGGTCAGAAACTGCCCCAGGCAGGTGGCAGGGAGCCTCTGGCTGTGCCCTGTCCCTTTCTTTGAAAGCACCAACAAGTACTGACTGGGTGTCCCTCAGGCTCCAAGACCTAGGAAGCGCTGGCTGTATTTTGAGTTCCCTCTGAGTGTGGAGGTCGCTTACGTCATAAATGTGCTGAGGTGACTCTACGGCTTCCCCAGTCGGCATTAGGAGAAAGCGATGGAAGAACCTGCCAAAACTTCGACATAAGTTTCTGGCTCCTGGCTTTGGCCTGGCCCAGCCCTGGTTATTTGCAATCATCTACAGGAGTGAACCATCAAATGAGAGATCTCTTTGTCTGTCTCTCTGCCTTTCAAATAAATTTAAAAAATTAGTTTTAAATCTTCTACAAATGAAGTCATTCAGAGTCACTTGAAGTCTGCACAAATCCCAGTCTTCCTCCTGCCATTTATCTCCAGGGGTACTTTCCTTACTTCCCTGACGTTACCTGATATATAGTATGAAAATATTAGTAATATTAGAAATCTATTATAAATAATTTAATAAATATTAGAAATAATAGTAATCATAACTACCTCTCAAGTTCAGTGGAGCATAAATGAGGTAGTGTGTGCCAAATGCCTACCCTGGTGCATAAACCAAAGTTCTTTCTTCAACAGAAAGAGAGAGAGAGAGAAAGCAAAAGAAAGAAAGAAAGAAAGAAAGAAAGAAAGAAAGAAAGAAAGAAAGAAAGAAAGAACAAATTCCTCTGGAGAATAGCTGTTCCTTGTAGTGGAATTCCAACTGGGACATGTACAAGAATTTAGGAAAATAGAAAATAACTATTTGTCCAAACACAGTAACAATTTTTGCATCCACTGATGTTAAAATTAGAGGGTAAGAGTATGCTTAGAGGCAGGATGTTTGCACGATCTCCAAGTATCTCCCACAAGGTACTTATTAATTACAAAGGGAAAAATAGTAACTTTACAGTGAAGAATCTGGCACCTACTCCTTTAACCCAGCGATCAAAGTCACTGTACCATCAAGGAGTCTGGTGGGCACCACGTGCCTCCTGCTGGGATGCGTGAGGAGGGCATAGCCCCGCCCCACACAGTTCTCACTCCACAAGTGCCACCTGGGTTCAACTGTGAGGAAACATCAAACTCAAACTGAAGGACATTCTGCAAAATACTTCGCCAGTTGCCTGGCACTGTCAAGGTCATGAAAGTAAAAGTGAGTCTGAGGAACTGTCGCTGGGAAGCCCAGACTAAGGAAACATGACAACAAAGTGCAATATTGGGTGCTGGCTTGAGTCAAGGACCAGGTAAGGACTATGAATGGGTCATTCAGCAGACACTGAATAAACTCTAGAAATTATTCATTTGTAAGTGTTATTTTCTGCACATGGGTGTTTGGTTTAGTGGTTAAGTCACATGTTGGGACACCTACATCCCATATCAGAGTATTTGGGTTCAAGTCCTGGTTCCATTTCTGATTCAAGATTCCTGCTCTTGCACACCCTGAGAGACAGCAGGTGATGGCTGAAATGGTTAGGTCCTTGCCACGTATGTGGGAGACATGGAATGTATTCTTGGCTCCTGGATTTGACCTCAGCCCAGTCAGAGTCATGATGGTCATTTGAGGGGCAAACCAGTAGAAGAGAGCATGCTCCCACATGCATTTGTGCTCTCTCTCGCTCTCAAAAAATTTTTAAAAGAATTTTTAAAAATATTATTTTCTAATTATTTTATGGTTATTTATGATGTTAACATTTGGGGGTAATGTGATGAAGGGTAAAGAGAACTCCTCTCTTTTTGCAATTTATTTCTAAGGTTAAAAATTTCCACTTTGACTATGACCTTGTCTAAATAAGATCGGAGTTGGCGAACTCAAAAGGCTTCCATAGCCTTGGCAGCTCATGACAAGAGCCTCGGGAGATTACTGATGCTATAAACAAGAGTGTTAATTGTTAAATCAACAACAGGAGTCACTGTGTACTTACTCCTCATGGAGGATCTCTGTCCTTAATGTGCTGTACAATGTGAATTAATGCTATAACTAGTACTCAAACAGTACTTAACACTTTGTGTTTCTGTGTAGGTGCAAACTATTGAAATCTTTACTTAATATATGCTAAATTGATCTTCTGTATATGAAGATAATTGAAAATGAATCTTGATGTGAATGGAATGGGAGAGGGAGCGGGAGATGGGAGGGTTGCGGGTGGGAGGGAAGTTATGGGGGGGGAAAAGCCACTGTAATCCAAAAGCTGTACTTTGGAAATTTATATTTATTAAATAAAAGTTAAAATTATTTTTTCAACATTCAAAATTAGAAGTTAAAAAATAGGAGGCCAGCATTGAGGTATAGTGGGTTAAGCCACCACCTGCAACACCACTGTCCCATATGGGTGCCAATAGGAGACCTGGCTGCTCCAGTTCTGATGCTACTCCTTGCCAATGTGTCTGGGGAGGCAGCAGAAGATGGCCCAAATCCTTGGACTCCTGCAACCACATGGGAGACCTGGATGAAGCTCCTGGTTCCTGATTTTGACCTGGCACAGCCCTGTGTTGCACAGCCCTGCTATTTGGGGAGTGAACCAGGGAATGGAAACTTTCTCTCTCTCTCTCTCTCTCTCTCTCTCTGTCTCTCCCCCTCTCTCTCTGTAACTCTGCCTTTCTAATAAATACAAATAAATATGGAAAAAAAAGTTTAAAAATCAGGCCAGGCATTGTGGTGTTGTTAAGCAACTGCCTGGGATGTCTGCATCTCATATCAAACTGCTGGTTCAAGTCCTGGCTACTTCACGTTCCATCCAGCTTCTTGTTAATGTACTTGGGAAGGCAGCAGATGACTGCTCAAATGCCTGGGTCCCTACTATCCATGTCTGGGACCTGGATGGAGTTCCTGGCTTCTGACTTTGGCCTGGGCTAGCCCAGGATGTTGCAGGCATTTGGGGAGTGAAATCAGTGGAGATATATACATACATACATATATATATGTATATATGTATATGTATATATATATGTATATATATATATATATATATATATGTCCTGGTGTGTGTGTGTGTGTCTGACTTTCAAATAAGTTAATAAATAATTGTTTTAATCTGATTTTATGTTCCTCATTCTGAGATTTTAAAGATAATAAAATCAAGATCTGAAGAGGTTTTCCTCCCTCCTATGTATTTTGAGTGTAGTTAAAGGTGAAAAGGGGCCCCAGGTGTGCGTTGTCATAAGCATTTCAAGACTTCATCTGTGATCCTAGGCGACCCGACATAAGTGTTGGGCTAAAGGGAAAAAACAGAGACCCAGGCAAGGAGAGCATTGGGCAAGGAGGTGGTGAGAAGAAAGCAGGAGTTGCTGGAAGAGATTCTGGACAAGGGAGGGGCAGGGGAAGAGGGGCCGTGATGAGCTGGGGAACGGCTGTGGACAGAAGACTTGAACCTCGGATGTTTCTGTTCTTGGCGTTTGCTGGTGAGACTCGTAGGGATTTCAATTTTATTTCTATTTTTTTTTTCTTGACCATTACTCTATGTTGGATTCATCCCCAAGGGGTCCAGTCATAGTCCAGCCCCACTGCAGCACAGGCCAGAGCACACAAGCCTTTACCAGGTAGCCCTCTGGCTTTATGATCCAAAGTAGTTGGAAGGAAAACCCAGGAGGTGTAAGGTGGCAGAGCAAACACGAACTCACGCCGAGGGCCTGCTGTACCCTTCTCTAGAACTGGGCAGAGATGGTGACCACCACCAGGAGACCAGTGGAGAATCCCTGAAGCGTGGGGCTGGAGAGCTTAAAGTCACTCATGGATTGTCTTCACTTGCCACGACCTCTTGTCTCTTCCTAATCATTTTCAGGACTGGAAACCAGAAATGAACCTGGGAAGTAGATGAGTGAGCATTGAATTCACTTCAAATGACTTTTCACCTAAATTTTTCATGGGGAGGAGGAGCTACTGGTGTGAGGAAAAATTGCAAGACTTTTGAAATAGGTGGAAAAGCATGTTTTCTAGGTATGTCTTAGTCTTTCATCCCCTAAAAGATGTTCTCCGATTCTACATGTTGCAGACAACTGTAACTACAGAGGCAAATGATTATTGGCATGCAAATGAACTTGACCCTGTGGAGTACAACTGATCTCTCCCATCCACCCTGGTGGAAGAAGTCAGCTCTGCATCTTTTAAGCAATTGCATTTTTGGTAGCACTGTATATGTACATTTACTTTGAATTTTTTCTTGAATTGAGTGTAATTTATTACTGTTCCCTCCTTAACAAATAAGCTAAATAAAATTTTAATGTGTGTTCATTTTAAATGTATATGAGATCAGTATGTCTCTGCAGAATGAGCAAATTCCATGAAATTTCGTAGGTATATATATATTTCCCTCTGTTCTTTTCTTTACTCTTGACCTGGGAAAGTAAGCCTTATGGAGCATTGTCTGGTAATAACCAATACAGAAGAGCTTTCTAACGTCTCTCTCCAATCTGATGGAACACAGTTATGTTGGAGAATATCTTGTAAAATCCTCTGGATCAGCATTCAAATCACAAATATAAGAGCCTAACCACCAACACCTGTTCATTTTCTACCTGCTGGAATACAAACCTTGATGTGAGGTTGGAGAGTGCATTACAACCCCCTTCCACCTGCCCTTCAAGCCCAACAGTTCTTTCATTAGAGGTTACACTCCCACCTTGTCCTTACCTTTGTAAGGTACAGACTCAGTTTCCTTTTGACTTCTCCCAGTGGTCTCTTTGATCTTTTCCTAAGTAGCTTCGCGTGTAAGTATTGGATGCGCTCCCTCTCCACGCTGGGGTAGAAGGATGTGGACACCAGGATTTTAAGCTGTATTAGGATGGAGGATAACAGTCCAAGAAGCAGTAATGCCGCAAGGATCACACCGAGAGTAGCCCACGTCTTAGACAGAAGGAGCGTTGGTTTAGGGACACATCTGGGCTCAAACACAGTTATATTGAAGGAAGAGCTGTGGACGATGTATCGAGTTCCTTGCTTCTAAAATGAAAGAATAAAATAATCAAAATGCAGGACACTTTTGTGTTCAACTCCTGCCTTTCTCAATATCTCCCCACAACACAGAGCATCCACCTTCAAATATACAGGGAGCTTTGTCTAAAGGAACCAGCACATATTTTGTGTGTTGTGATTATAGCAAAGGAAAAGCAATGAGTCTTAGTTGTAACTATCGTGGTGTTTTCCAAAGTGGGCTTGTAATGTATGAATTTCCTTGGAAGAAGGCGGTGAATAGGGTTGTCTTTTCTTCGGAGAGCCACAATGCCCACAGACTAAAGTCTCTGAGAGAAAGCACACAAAGATGTTTAACTTTAGCTGAGCAAATTTGACCAAACAAGCTATTTTCATGGAATCCGTTTCTCTACGCTTAGGGCAGGTGGTACTGCTGAAAGATGGAGGAATTCATCTCTGCTGGGAAGGAGGAGACTGTCCTGGAACACAGCCCTGAAGACCCAGGCACGTGCTCCCATTCAGGACAGACAGCCCTGAGTGCAGCACCAGGCTGCAGGACGTCAGCCTCTGCATCAACCTCCTGGAGTTGGGGAGGGGTCATCCCTGTGCACCATTTGTTGTTCCTCTCCAGGGTGGTATGCTGGCCTCTGGGCTGCAGGAGACTCTCAAGTCCTGTTTGCACAGAGAGCTTTTCTCACTTCTTGTGGATGCACGTGAGAGGTACGCTAGGTACACAAGAGAAGAAACGGGCTGCCCTCAGCAACTGACACAGAGGGCAGAAGGTGACATTGAGCCACCCAGCCAAGCCACCCGCAAGAGACGTGCATGCTGATTCAGCGCTTTCTCTTTCCTGACCTAGGAAAGTCATTTAATCTCCTCTCAGTGGATTTGTTTTCTAATTTGGTAAAACAGGAATTAATGGACCAGATCCTGCCCATGAATAAACTACTCCCAGTGTAAATTAAGCACCTTGGGGATGGAGCATTAACCTTACAGACTGGAGTGCCTGGTAAGTTATTGTCTACCCTAGCTGTATAGAGTCTTGAGACCCAGAAGACGTAAAATGACTGCTCACAGACAATCCAACCACACCCAGGGAACAGGGGGACCTTGGGTCTGCCTTTGTACTTGGGAAGAATCTGGAAACACTGAGCCTGGGCTCTCAACACGAACGTCAGACGAGATCTGCAATTTCCCCGGTACCATGCTTGAGCAACCACAAACGTTTGGGTTGCCTCTCCTTGTCTCTTATTAAACAGACAGCCAGCCTGCAATTTAAATAGAGAGATCCCAGTCCCCAGAGCAAAGGCATGCAGTCTTTTTAATACTATTGAAGAAACAAAACACATCGATTGAGTCAGTGATGAGAAATCCTGCAATAAGAAAGCAGCGGGTGTTCGGACTGGGAAGAAGTTATTTAGTCTGAGAGTTTAACTGGGGACTTTGCAATTGGGAGTCAAAGCTTCCTAAAGATTGAGTCAACAACTTTGTACGAGGTTGGTTGAGGGCAATGTGGAAGACGGATTAGCTCTTTCAAAATGCCTATGTGGTCCCCTGGTGATTTAGAATGTTTACTTCCCTTAAGTCAACAATTTGGTGGGATGGTACCAAGTAAAGGATGGAGGGCAGACTCTGTTCTCCGATGGCCCTGCCAAGTTAATGCAGCCAAAGGCCATGCACATAGTAAGTGTTCAATAAGTAGAAACTATGGCTATTTTTACTTACAGTGCCCACCCAGGCAGCCAGCTTAACTTGGACCATTTGCTCTCTTCTTTATTTCAAACATTTATTTAAAATCATTTGAAAGTGAGAGAGAAATATTGGCAAAACTTTGAACTGGTGTTTATCTTCTGGCTTGACTTCTTCACAAATCTGCAGCAACAGAGAAGACCAGGAGCCTCCAAGGGCATCCTGGGATAAGGGCAGGGCACTGCCAGTCATGCAGAAGCGGGCTGCTGGCGGCGCAGTCTCCCAGCACAGCAGGAGCATTAGAGCGGCGCTCCCAGCAGTCTCGCATGCGCATCTGTTCCAGTGCCCACCGCCCTGCCCTGCTGCTGCTTTGTGTGTATGTGGAGCCTCCCCTCTGGGATGTGAGCCCCTCTGTGAGGGCCGTCACAGTCGACCAGCAAAGCCCAGTGATGAATGGGTTAGGCCATTGTCACGGAAAAGCTTCTGTGCTTTTCGGGGGGCTGGGGGAGGCAGAACCTACTCTTCTCCTCCATGTCCAAAGCAGTGAGAATTGACATATCTGGCACTGCCGTTGACTGAGAGAACTAGATGAGCACAGAGCAGAGTGGGAAGGAGGGCGTGCGAGAATTGAGAGGGGAAGACAAGAAAGCAGAAGGTGGGAGGAGAATGGGGCCAGGGCAGAGAGACCTTGTTACTGGCCACCCCCAAAGATCAAGCAAGTTTGAAATTCTTCTTAGTCTTTCATTTGAAACTACTTCCATTATCTGCCCTGCTCCAAACATCCACATCGACAGGGGGCCTTGTAATTAACTGAATTCTTTAGGGAAGCAGAGAGCTCAGAGTAATCAACTCTGAAAAGCAGCCCAGGATTAGGAGGGCAGGAGCCAGGGGACCGCATCTGCTGAGCCTAAAGGAAAGAGAAGGAAAAGTGTGGATGCAGCAGGAGGGATGGAAGCAGAGAGAGGAGAGAGAGAGAGAGAGAGAGAGAGAGAGAGAGAGAGAGAGATGGAGACTGCCTGTCTAAAGAGGGGTGCAGGCAGTGTGGCTATCATTGTCCCTGAAAACTTTCCCCAGCTAGTCACAACCTACGGGGACTTGATAATGAGGAAAGCAAGTCAGACACCAGCCTGGGCTAGTGTGCTTAATCCCAGAAGGCATCACACATATATGCACGCACACACACACACATCTGCATGCACACACCTGCATGTTTCACTCAGTTCAGCTTCATCATTTCTCATTTTAAGAAAAAATATCGCAAGGAACTGGCACTGTGGTGTAGTGGGTAGAGCTGCTGTCTGCAGTGCCAGCATCCCATGTGGGAACTGGTTCTAGTCCCGGCTGCTCCTCTTCCCATCCAGCTCCCTGCTGATAACCTAGGAAAGCAGAAGATGATGGCCCAAGTCCTTGGGCCCCTGCACCCACGTGGGTGACCTGGAGTAAGCTCCTGGCTCCTGGCTTTGGAACGGCGCAGCTCTGGCCGTTGCGGCCAATTTGGGAGTGAACCAGCAGATGGAAGACCTCTCTCTCTCTCTCTCTCTGCCTCTCCTTGTCTCTCTGTGTAGCTCTGACTTTCGAATAAATAAAACAAATCTTAAAAAAAAAAAAAGAAAAAAGAAGGCAAGTGTCTGATGGCATCCACACCCTCTAAAATCCACATTATCAGTCTTCTGGAGGGAAAATGGAAAAGGAAAAAGATGGGATGTACAAATCCACAGTGCTCTCTGTTGGCATGCATCTGCCAAGAGGCCGGAGATGAAGAGGAGAGGAGAGAAAGCCAGGCTCCTGGAGCCACAGGTGGCATAGGCTCAAATACACTCCTTTGGCTGATCACCAGTTTTCACAGATCCCATGGCAATTAGAGGCTGCCCTTCTGGCTCTGTTTTTTTGGTGATCAGTTCAGAATACTGGTTCTCAATTTTGAATGCCCGTTAGAATATTTTAAAAGCTCTCACCACGATCCAATTAAATTGGAATCCCTGGGGCTTCTGGGGAGCACGTATTGGGCTTGTTTGCTTGTGTTTCTTCAGCAGAGAAGCTCTTGTGTGGCCATGGTAAGGTGCAGTGGCTCAGGAAGTCCTTGCTTCCTAGCACCCAAGTCAGAGTTTCCCAGAGAGTGGGCTCTGGACATCTGCTGTGCAATCACATAGAGCACTGACTACCAACGCTCTCATTTACAACAAAACCTTGGTTGCACTGACGCATCTGGAGACCGCCCGCCTCTGGAATGACTCAGGATACACAGAAAAGTAGTGTTCACCCCAGGAAGCTGCTCCGAGTCTACTGACCTGATCCTGAGAGTGACGGGAAGTCAAGCCCTAACTCCTGGTCTCTTAGGTTCATGCCAGATGTTCCTGGTGGAGAATCAAGTTCATGGCCAACATCAGAGACATCAATCCCCACTTATCAGTGTTTGCTAACAGTAAGAGGCTAAAAACTGAACCCCCCCCCCCAATAAAAGGTCCTAGTCTCTGGAATCTGAAAAATGTTACTTCATTTGCAAAAAGGATCTCTATGAGTGCAAAGAAATCAAAGACCTTGGGGCTGAGACATTGTCCCAGTGAGCCCTAGCACAATCACACATATCCTTGAGAGCAAAGTCAAGAGAGGTTTCCCTACACAACAAAGAGACCGAGAAGGCAGCAGTGGGGCCTACCTCTCTGTGCAGCCTCAGGTGAACCTGGAGCCCCGGCAAGCTTTGGAACTGTTTGCTCACTGAGGAGAGCAGTCGATACAGCAGATAATCGGTGGCTGCAAACAGCACCCAGATGGAAAGATGGGTGAGAACAGGGAGGAGAAACAGCCCCAGGTTTTTCCTTTCTTTATGAGTCAGCCAGAAAGACGGGACGACAACATACTTCTTCCTCTCTTTCTTACTCAGCGGGAGGACACAGGGCCTCTGTTCATGTCTCTCCTTCTCATCAAACCGAATGAATTGCCTGGTGATATAGATGTTCTCAAATTTACAACCACAGGGGCCCAAAAATCGTTTCATAAAGAGGCCAGTACTGAGCAGGAGCAGCAAGAGCCCTGCAAAGCAAAGAAGCTTCTGACCCAGGGAGGACAACGTCTCTGTCATGGTCATCACCTGGCACCAGACGCTCAGCACTTGCCCTTTGGTGTCATTTAGCTGGGCCTCCAGGGCATGCTTGGTGCCATAAAGAGAGACTGCCAGTGTCTGGTTCCAAGAAACAAGGTCACCAAATAGAGTTAGTGAAGCCGCTTGGCTATAAATCCACTGAATGGCTTCGATATATTTTTCCAGAAGTGGGAAATGTATGGAAAAGCTCTTTGCCCTCAAGTTGCAAGACATACTATCTAGGAGACCTTTAAAGTTGTGAAAAATATTTTGCACGTGTCCAAAGATCACTATCCCCGTGCCAGCCGCAATCAGAGCATTTCTGCCTTCCCGCAGACCACAAGAGAGAAAGGCAAGAAGCACGAAGCACCGTGCATGCTTGGAGCTGCACAGCAGAATGCTCGTGAGAATCCAGCATGGGGCGAATACTGTGACCGACGAGAGAAGCCAGTAGAAGGCCACGGAGAGGAGGCCCACAGAAATGAGAGCCACGAAAGAGCAAACTCCCAAATGCTGGAGAAAGTCCATCCATCCAGGGCTTCTTGGAGACACATAAGTCCTCCAAAGACTTAGAAAGATCTCAGTGCCTGAAGTCCAGACACCCATGTTTCCTGTGACCCTGGGAACGAAAAGGAAACCAAGGTCAGAAGTCGCCTTTGAATGTCCTCTGATGTTTGTAAAGGGCACGGTGGGAGACCAATTGGTAAAAGTATCGTTCTTTAAGCCTCTCTGGGTCCAACCCCTTGCAATGTGACGTCACAGCTCCTCCCACCAAGGGCTGGATCTGGTTGTCTATGTCTTCAATCTGGGCTGGTCCTGTGGCCTTTTGGGCCAATTGGACCATGGCACAAGCAGCCATGTCTCCTCCTGAGTACATCACTCACTCTCATGTGCTCCCTTGGGACCCAAGCATTGCCAGGTAACATGTGTGGCTGCATTAATCTCCTACTGCCGCCATAAAAAATGATCACTTAGTGTTTTAAAGAAATGCGCATCTGTTCTCTTACAGCTCGGTGGGAGTGGAAACCTGACGTGAGTCCAGCGCTGAGATCCTCTGGAGGAAGCTTTTTCTACCCTCTGCCTACATTCTCTGGCTGTGGACCCTTCTTCCTCCATCTCAAAGTCGGTGACCTCTGACCTCTGTTTCCATCCTTCAGTCTCTCTGTGATGCTGAACTTCCTCTTACAAGGGCATTTGTTATGGCATTGGGCCCACCAAGATACTCAAGGAAAATCCTCCATCCGGAGACCCTTAATCCACTCAGCAGGTAACAATCCACTGTGTACGGTAACACACTCTCGGGCTCTGGGAGCTGGGACACAAACATCTTTGGGGAACCAATATTCAGTCTATTGTGCCAGGCTGGACACTTGAAAGATGAGCAGCACTTCAGTTCCATCGACTCAGATGATAACCAGCCGAATGCTGGACGTGGAGAGAGGCCGTCCTAAGACCGCCAGTCCCTAGCCAGTTGATCACAGTCATATGAATAATAATAAATACCAATTTATTTTAAGCCATTAAATTCTGCACTGGTCTGTTAAGCTGCAATTATTAATTGATATAGGCAATGATACTGTATCATGGGATGAACCTTAAGCTAATGGATGGACTGAAATTTCAATAAACTGTGTTATGTAAGCTTTCTCTTCAATAGTCATCTGTTTCCTTGTGCTCTAATTCTACGGACCAGAAAGCATGCCAAGGGCATCCAAACTTAAACATGGGGTTGGGTGCAGGCTGTTTTATCTCTGTTCAGTAACCATGGCTACCTCCCTCCCCTGCCCCTGTCCTCTGAGTCCAGTCCCCTCCTGAGATCTGAGACTCTTACAAGCAAAATAAGAAGCATTTTGTCACGGAGTTATTCATATTTTCTTTTTCCCAAATCTGGAATATTAAAATGCAGGTGCCATGGGGCTGCTGCCCCCCTGCCAGTGTGCAGATTTGGGCCTGTGATGCACTCAGAGAGACTGGGGTTCCTTTGGAATGAAACTAAATTAATGAGATTGTTCTCTCTCGAATGACATGAAACTTTCTAGCAAACATTGAATCATATGTATGGGATTTTAATGAGGACATCAATCAATTTTTAAACACTCTCAAAGAAATCCCTTCTCACATCCGATCTGACCGGGCGGGATTTAAGGAGCAGCTTAACGCTGTGAGAACCAGCTCACCATGTGAGAGGGCAGGAACGGAGCAGCCAGAGGTGAAGAAATGAGTCTCTGTCTGCGTCAAGGCTGAATGAGGCTAATGAGGGGCAGAAATAAGGCAGGCGAAATAGGCAGGTTAGGCGTGAATGTGTGTGTATTTCTCCTGCAAGAATACAGGAGGCTGGCAGGTGCTGGCATGGGATCTGAATGGAAGCACTCTGAACAGCAAAGAGATCTAGGGAGAATGAGGGGGTGGAGTAGGGTGCTGGCCTTGCTGAGATCCAGGACCATGCCTGCAAGAACTCTGAACTCCATCAGGAGGAAAGGGAATTGGAATGGGGACAGCAAACGCCATAGCTCTTTTTTCCTGCAAGATGCTTCCTTTTGAACTGAAGGTTGGTGGTGCTCACAGGGAAGAGGGGGACAGCTTTGCTGAGGTGCCCTGTGCTCCTGGATCCCCAGAGTTGCCCACCCATCACACACTTGCTCCACAGCACGGGGAGGAGGACTTGGCAGCCAGGAGTGGCTGCTGCCTCTCCTCCCAGACAAGTCCCCTCTCACTTTCTGTATCTTGACTTCAGAATTGACCCCAAACCAATGTCTGGCTTACTGATACCCTCGTAGTTATTAATTTCTCATTACATTGTAGATGCTTTTTATAAAGCATGTCTCTGCAGCCTGCACCCCAGCCCTTGGAGAGGGGCTGTTGTTTGCATTTTACACAATGGAAACGGAGCAGCTCCTGAAACATATCGGCAACGGCCCAGACAGTGGTGACACAGCGAATTGCAAGCCAGCGTCCCTGACTCCTGGGTATGCTCTCTGTCCTGCACCATGTCCTCATTCCAAGACTCCGGCTGTGGGATGGGGCACTCAGCTTCCTGTGTTTGTCTCTGCAGGAAACACATGACGCTTTTTGCCAGTGACTGATCCAGTATCAGAAGCCCCCTTCCAGTGTTGGCTCACTTCTTTCCCCTGCATGGCAGAGCTGTCCCTGTAAGCATCACACATCTCAAATCAGCTGATTCCTCTCTGAAGCAAGTCAGAAATCCCAGCTGCTTCACTTTTTCCCTAATTTCCCTTATGAAGCACCATTTTGCTTACCTCTCCAAATATTAATAATGTATATTCTGGATTCATTTTTCCCTGCTCTTGCCTTCATTCTTGTACAATGTGTTCCTAGTACAGACATTTTTTTGAAAGTAGGGAACAGACTTATGGACACATTAAAGTTTTAGCATTCTGCAATAAAGTCTAATAACAATTAAATAAGATAGATGGTTGCAATTTTGTCCTGTAAGAGGCACATGTTTTCTTAACAAGCAGAAGCTCTAATCCTCTCCTCCTTGCTTTTGTGCTGCAAACAACGTCACCAAAAGATACCCAAACTTTCTGCAGTGAGAGGAAAGAAAACACTCCCCCCTACCCGATGTTATAGCTCAAGCCACAGGGCAGCGCTTTGGGGCCCCGGAGGCCAGTGTTCTGGGAGGCCTTTCCATCCCTGTCGCCAGTAACCTGGATTTCATCCCCATCCTCTGCCCCTCACTTGAACATTGTTACTCAATCATTCCCCACTTGAATCATTCAAGACCTTCCTGCTCCTTCCCAGTGAAGTTTAACGAGGAGAACCTTAGCAAGCACCCTGAGACCCCTGGAAATAAGATACCCAGTAAATGCAACTCATTTCTCTTGTTTTGGTTTCTTCTCGGCCCCGTAAAATGGAGAACTTGCATTCCTTGATCTTCAGACAAAGACGGAATGCCTGAGTTGACGGGAGGCCTAGGGGTAGGTGCTGGATCATGCAACTGCTCCTTAGCCCCTCTCCAACACGGTCTGCAAAGAGAGCTTCTAAGTCTGGTTGAGACCTAGTCCCTCCGTGCCAGTCACCCATGCATCCTGAAATGCAGATTCAACGGCGTCGTGTGAACTGCCCGTGGATTGTCAACCACATCCACAAACTTCTACATCTGACAGCAGATCTCTCTTCCCCAGGTGAACGCTGATGCCCCCCTGTTTTACTTTGAGACCCCCACAGCCAGAGATAGGCTCCTCATTCAATCAGGGCCTCCTGGACTCAGGTGCTGTGGTCTGAGGGCCAGTCTGAAGAACTCTCCCTCCCTGCTGAGCTGTGCCTCCCTGGGACAGGGGAAGGGAGGGCATTCAGTGTTGGTCCCACTTTCTCTGTTGAGCTGGAGGGTCAGGGTTGGGGGCGCTTCCTGCACCAGCTCAGCAGGGACACAGGGGCATTACTCAGCCTTCAGGGCTCAGAGAAGCACCGCACAGAAACACGGAAATGAAGAGACCCAGACACTCCTTGGGGGCATGGAGCTTGAAGCAATGGGCAGGGGCTTTCTGGAGGCTGGAGATCCCATGCCTACCAAAGTGGCAGGGACAGCAGCCCGCAGCCCTGCAAGCTTTTAAGACCCTATATAGACCCAGTTCTGGCAGATTTTCTGTTTTTTTTTTTTTTTTTTTTTTTTCTTTTCAGAGAAGTTAGAAAACTATGGATTTCTTAGGTGACATCTGGTTTTAAAAAATGTTGACTCAAATCATTCTTAAGCTCCCTGATGGCTGATTTTGCTCCTGTCAGTTTGCAGCCCTTGACCCCCTGGGTGATGCTCACTTTGCTTTCTTTCCGTCTCTCCACTTCGCCTTCTCCTCACCTTGGACTTCTGGAACCACTCCCCTGAGGTTCCTCCTCCCCACCCCCACCTCCCATTTTATCACCATACTGCAAGTCAACTTCCAAAAAATGTACTGTATTGGAGTGAAAGTGACATTTTGAGATTCAATGACTGTTGACAGCCCTGCTTACAGTTCCTACTGTTGAGGAACAGGGGTTTTCTTCTTACTATTTGTTTAACTCTTATTTAGTGTAGGGTTCATCTTATGAGTATAAAGTAAACCGAAAGTAGATCATTGTAAAAATTGAGAGGGAATAAGAGAGGAAGGAGGAGGGGGGGTAGGAGCGTGGGTGGGAGGGAGGGAGGGGAGGAAAGTCTCACTATGTTCCTGAATCTGTACCCATGAATACAAGAAACTTGTTCACCTTAAAAGATTTTAGAAAAAGAATAAAAAATAAAGCAAAAAAAAAGTGAGCTTCCAGTCTCCCACATGGAGGTTTTTCTCTGTGCCTTGAGAATATTTATGCTGGCCTAAAGACCTCAAAGTCTTTTTTATAATTCCTCTCTCTTGTGCTTCCTGGATGAAGTCACTGCCTCCCTCTCTCCTTCATTTCTTCCATAGCTACTAAGAGGCTGCCTGATCCATTTAAGCTGAAATTTCTCTCAATTTTGCCTCCATTATCAATGTTTACTGCTGAACTCAACATCCTTGTCTCCCCAGGATAAAGTCTCTTTTTCTTAATTTTACCAATAGTGACAACCCAAGAGTAATGACCAGGTTCTGGCTTTTATCCCAACCTACAGTTTGCCCCCCATCCCAGGCAAGGAGGCTGTGGCTGGATCTCTAGTGCAGTGTCGCTGTAGGGTCACATCACAGAGGTAAA